AATAGATTAAAGTGCGCATAGGGGGAGAAAGGAAAAGGTTAGATCAATGCAACTTTTGGAAAGGGGGGGGGGGGAGCGGGGGGAGGCTTTGTTCCTGCGCATCAGAGGAACTCTAACCTCCCCAATTCCTGCCCTAGATGCTTCTGAACTTGTTTCTGTCCCACAAACACATAAAAGGATGGGTTGGTTCTGTTGAGTGAGTGTGAGGATGTTGTGCACACAAGTGTAATTCATTCTGTGCACCCAACATTAGCTGCGTGTTCAGTGATGTTCAGTGTGGGAACCCATGATTGACCAGATGGGCTTAGCACATTTTCATCTCTACCGTGGAAATCAAGCATTGTATCTTCCTTTGTCTGAAGCATGATGGAGTCCTTATATTTTAGAGGTTTGGGAGCACTGATGAGTCCCTAACTGAAAGGGTCCCCCTCCTTTCCCCTCCATTCTTAGCATACAGAATCTTTTGTTCTTAAGCCTGGAGATCACATACGTAACATAATGTAAGAAAACCAGCTTATAAAATGTTGTAATGAACAAACCTGTTTTTGCAAATTTGTGAGTTTACTCCTGCTAAATATGATTCCAACCATGTGTTCTTTCAGGTCTGCATCTGAGGTTGCCTTGAAAGGAATATGATATTGTTTAGTATGATCATATGTTTCATATTCTCATCAAAAATTTAAGACAGTTTTGTTTCCAATGCATGTTTTGGTATTCAGTAATATAAAGAATCTAGCCAACATAAATCAATTGAAAAGTTAGGCTATGAACATATTTTCAAAGAAGTTGTAAGCTGTAAATCTCCTAAAATATTTCCAAACATCTGAACTCCAGACAATACTGGTCTTCCAGCTGCAGCACGATGGATTCCTTACCCTTAGCCAGACCTGGTTTATCCTTACTGGGAGGTGATATCTTTCCTAATGAAGAGAAAGTTCACATAATGGCAGCCTCCAGGAATCAGTAGACAAACCAGAGTATTGGGGACAATAACTTCGTCAATGACCACCCCTGAAATCTCATGACTTAACCTTTGTACACAAGAAGATAAGTTGGCAGAGGGAGTCTCTGCTGCAGGAGACACAGACTGGCCCTTCTGGATGATGGGTCTGAAATGAATGCACCATTGGGAGTGGCTGCCAAAATTGTCTAGCAAGCCCTGCTTTAACTGATTTTAGAACAATAACTATACAATAGGTTTAATTTCTGGGCTTTTTCTTTTCTTCCAGGCCCATGAAAGTTGTGTGTTCCTTCATATTTTGACAGGAAATTCAAGAAATATTTTTAATACTTTTGGTCAGTTGAAATAGAAAAACTAATCTTCTTATCTAAGCACCAATGCACCCACAACCATAGCTTTCTGCAGCGTTGACCCAGGAAGAGCGCCTATGGCTGAAGCAGCACTGAATACATGGGTTAAAACTCCTTTGCCTCATGTGAAGATGCTATTGTATTGCATCACAGCACAGAGACTTATCAGGTTCCTCATGAACAGCATCCTGCTGGGACTCCAAGCTAATGATTAATGTGGCTAAGTACCAAGCAACGTGGTGACAACACACTGCCTGGGCTGAGTTTCATGGGCACCTGACGAAAGAAGCACATAAATCTATATGTAAGGGTGCAATTTCAGCGATGCCAATGAATGGCTAGAGCCCCAGCAGTTAAGTCATCATTCAACATTGCTAACAGGTTGAAAGCCCTGTTTCTGCATGATCCACGTGGTCAGCTAAAGAGAATGCAGTCCTGCACAGAGAATTCAAGATCTGAACCAACTTGCGTTGGGAGATAAAAATCTTGGTAATGGTAGAACACAAATAAATACATTGTGTACTTTTTCTTCTCCTTCAGGTGAAGAAAGCAAAGCCTTTTCTTCCTGTTCTGGTGTTGGCTCAGCATCTCCAGATATGAGTTTGCCGAAGACCTGTTTCAGAGGATGAACAAAATACTGAAATAAGACAGATGTGCTATTTTATTTTTTCTATGCAGCTATGTCAGTAATATTAAAATATTTGCTTACTGCATTTGCAAGGTGGCAAAGAACAGAACTTGGCCTGAAAATAAGTTTTAAAATTTATTATATTGTATCTAAATATTTTAACAGCGTCTTGCCTGTGGCACATATGTAATGGTTCTAACAGAACAAGCAATGTTTGTTGTCAACAGGACAGCGCTGGGAATAACCCAGTATCAAATAAATACCATGATTTCCAGATTCCTGTTATTAAATGCTGCCTGGTGCAGCTCCCGCATTAAAACATGCACATTCTACCCTCGTGCAATTGTTTAAAGCTGGAGAAGAGACAAGAGGAAGAAGGAAAATGTTGAAGAGGGAATTGGGAAATGGACATCTGAAGCAGAAAGCATTTTAGAAATCTAAGCAAACCAGGAAGCAGCAGAATCAACTGTAGGTAAATGCTGCAGGATGCAGCACGAATGTCCATTCGTCTGTCTTCCCAAGGAACTTGGGTGGACACGTGCGTGCTCAAATGGATCCCCTCTAAGCTAAATCCCACCACAAACCTGCCACCCTTGGGGTGTTCCTTTAACTTGTGGACTTTGCTACTTTTAATAACTCAAGGAAGGGGCAAAAGAAACGTGAAAAACGAAGATTCCCGTGCCATTTCTGCCTCGTGGAGGCTTGAGGGTTGTGTTCACCTGCGATGTGATGAGCCTGAACACTCGCAGTGTCTCAGCTTCACAGCTCCTTTGTTGAGCAACACTTGCTGAGATCTGGCCAGCTATTTTGATGCTTTCACCTTCTTTCCAACCAAGCACTTTCACCTGCCGAACTCGGAGGGTATTTTCTGGCCCCTTTAACTCAATTTTGAGGATGTGATTGTCTCCACCAGGAAGTTCACTAGTTACCCAGCCAATATGTCTTGAATCCAAGTCAACCTAAAACACAGGCATACAAAAGCAGGTTTGTGTAGACAGCAGGAACATAATTCTATAACTTGCAAACAGAATGGTTATCTGGAGGTTGAGTCCTGGCAACTGGACTTCTTTTCTTTTGATCTGGCAGCTGCTTGGACAAGCAGCGAAACGTCTCAACCCAAAAGAAAAGAAGCGCAGTTGCCAGGACTCAACCTCCAGATAAGTCCACCAGGACAACTGAGAATCTTCATCAACAAACAATGGTTCAAAAATCAAAATTAACCTCCTGGGTAAGGCTGCAAGATCTTGCAAAAATATATATGGCCACTAGATGGCCACAAATACTTAGGGATTCTCTATCTCTTTGCTGCCCTCTAATGGCTGTCTCAATTTCTCCAGCCCAGATATGAAGCTAAGTCACATCCAAACCCAGTGGGCACTGGCTGCAGAATTAGCTGAGGCTAACACAAACTGCTGTTGGCTTAAAGCATTTGCTTTAGAGTAAACTGTGGAAAAATATACAAGCAAATCCACTCTAAATCAAAACAATATTATCCTCCCCTCTAACTACACGGAGCTGGACAGTTAAAACTAGAACAGTGCATGACTTCTGCAGCTATTAACTTTTTAGCATAAGGATGCATGGAACACAGATTACTAAATACAAGGGGAGAGATCATGTATCTTTTGTTTCTTGCGATGTCAGCATAAAGACTAGTGACAAGAGGTCCAAGTTCTCAATTAAGAAAACTGATCTGTACAACCAGTTCATTAAACCAAATGTTAAATACGTAGCACTTTAAATATTAAGATGCTTGGTTATGACTTATAATGGCACTGGAAAGCTACCTGTTTTATTCTGCAAAGATCCTCTACTGCTTTTCCGGTCAAAAAAGTCATTGAAGTCACTTTGTTCTAGATGTGGCAATATGAAACAAAAAATAAAAGTCAAGCATTTTAAGTTTCAAAACCGTTTTTCAACAGTTTAAAATAAAAGAGACGAACAGACAGAGAACAGAACCAGTTTGGTGTAGTGGTTAAGGCTAGAAACTGGGAGATTGTGAGTTCTAGTCCCGCCTTAGTTACACAGCCAATTGGGCGACCTTGGGCCAGTCCCTCTCTCTCAGCCCTGGGAAGCAGGCAGCGGCAAACCACTTCTGAAACCTTGCCAAGAAAACTGCAGGGACTAGTCCAGGCAATCACTAGGAGTCAATGCTGACTCAAAGGCAGAAGAAAAAAAAAAGAAAAAGAAAAAAAAGAAAAAAGAGAGAATAGCCAAAAAAACCCCAAAACAAAACAAAACAAAACAAAAACCCAAACAAAAAAGGGTCTAAATATTTTTTTAATGTTTTTATCACACATTCACCTTTCTCTATTACGTTCTTGCCATCTGGCTTATATGTAGACTGATAACAAACCTCAACCTGCCTTGCATTTCCAGATCTATAGCTTTATAATTAATTCACTCTCTAGAGTGGTATGAATGTCCAGTGGGACATGTCAATGTTACTCTTCCTTTTTGCAAACAGTGCTTACCCCAAGGTCTCGTGAATTGTCAACATGAACAGACACGTAACGAGCATTAATTCCTTTCATACAATTAATTGTAATGTTTTTAGTTTTATTTTTGTCTTCATCGCCTGATTCCCAGAAGGTTTCCGTTGACCCATCTGTCAAACTACCAATCATGGCTGGTCGGCTTGAAGTTTTTATATCAACGATGTTAGTTAAGTCCTTCAGACAAATTACTATACACGATTCCTATCAAAACAAAGAAGTTTCAAAGTTAAACACGCTACTGTGGTTTAAATTAATTTAATAAAGTATTTAACGTAAAAAGTAGACTTGAGGCCAACATTACTGAATGTGCCCTGTGCCCCCCACACCTTTCATTTATTCATTTAAATCAGTCTGGGCAAACTTTTTCTGCTCAAGTTCATGATCTGCTAAGTGTATCCAGCTGGAGCCAAATGCAAACATCTTCCCAATCATTCTACACACCAGAAACCACCCATTCAAAGAAACCATTTTGGCAAGGTATTTCTCCATAGCTGTGGCTTCTCATCAGCTGCTTTCACAGTAACCCGGTGTGATGGAATGGAATTATGAAGGCCAGGTTCAGGGAGATAAACATTTTCTTAGCTC